CAGATCTTAAACTTGTATTGCATGAGGTGAAAAGCTGAAAAGAACACCTCAAATCAAATGCAACGCTTTGACTGTCAAAACGTCGTTAAAATGGGATGAGATGAAAGGAGAAGAAACTACTTTGATGTTGAGATGGGATGAGAGCGATGCAACGGTGAATGTGATTGTGCTGTCTGAGCAAACATTAAAATCACCTGATACGACTATTTGTCCTGATCCTTCTTGTATTGTGATGTTGTCTGTCCTGAACATCCACACCCCTGGTTTATTGACGTTTGATTTGTAAGGAAGATCTAGTATACTAATGTTCCGTATACTGTTAGGAGCTACATTATAGTAGTAGTTACTAAAACCAGCGTTGAACCCAACCTATAAGAAAAAGGGAACCGAAAAGCTCAATGCACAAAAATCAATAGCACCTATTCAGGTGTTTTATTCTTTTCCGGTTTATCTTTTGCATAAGTACTATAATAAAGTGGCAATCGCTAAGTTTCTGTGTCTCTTGATCCAGGAAATGTTTTAAGGCCGAATTAGAAAACACAACTTTTGCCTAGAGCCATCGCATGCGACCTGCGTTAGTCATCCTTACGACATAGCTGCAACTGTCGTAGGGATTTAAAACATTGCTGAATAGCCCCACAACAGTTGTAGGCATGTCGTAAGGATGACTTACGCAGTTCGCATGAGATGGTTGTAGCCAAAAGTTATGTCGTCTAATTCGGTCTTTATATTTTAAAAAGAACGGCAGTGGGCGATGGAAGAAATATAAGTATAAAGATATATCATGCCCTTTAATAATCAAAGTTATAGGTAATTCCCTTAATATATACCTCTGCTTCAGTTCCATAACTTGATGTCCATCCGATGTTTTGGTAGTTAAAACGAACAAACGAATAGTTGCCATCGGTTAGCAATACTGACTGGAAGGTATTGGTGATACTCTGCAATCGTCATTAAAAAACACCAACAACAAATTGATTAGAAGAAGAAAGCAAAAACAATGCCACAGTCAAACAGTGACGATGTAAAGAAAAAGCACAGATCATTCTGTAAAAAAAATTGCAATGACAAATATACAAATATATATTTGTTGCAATAAAAAGATAAAAATATTCTTTCAACTTAGCGCGCGAGATATGGTGTTAGACAGTGCGCATGCCCTCTTATTGACATATACTCTTATCAACCAATCAGCTCACGAGAATTTACACAAGTATGGGGAAAAAAAATCGCAACGAAAAAATAGAAAATATTTAATATTCCAATAAAAAAAAAGATTCGTAAGATGAGTCAAACTGACACCAAAGATATCAAGCAATTATAGAGTGGTACTAAGGTGTAATAGTGCAGTATCTATTTCGAAACGAGTTCTTCGACTTCACTTCATCGTATTCTTGGTTTGCACTAATCACGTGACATTCTAAAAGTGCTATTTAGAAGCCAAATTAGCGAAATGTTATTATTGTCCTCGAACATCTAATTTAAAGTATCATCACGAACTTTTGAGCCAAAATAATGCTTTTTAACAGAAATACGAGCGATCGAAAATTGGTAAGAATGTATGGGATTATCACGGCTCAATGCGTTTTAGCCAGGTCAAGAAATACCTACAAAAGACTATATGTTTAAAGATCGAAATGAATTTTTTATGTTCAAGGCCAAAAACAGCATATAATTCCCAACAGTTATGCAAAATTTGAAGTCAAACTGCCATTTTGTAGCAAAAATATAAGCGTTTGAATGCGGTCTTACTTTACAAGGGAATGTATGGGAGAGCCCTAATGGTGTACAAGTCCAGAACACCAACCACGCCGACAGTAACTCCGAGTGTCGAAATGAGCTCAAAACTTATGATTTTGCTTCAGTTTTCAAACAATATCATTCTAAAAATTCAATTTAATGCTGAGGCTTTACTTGTTTTAAGATTAATAGGCTTTCCGAGGTTAATTTGGCGTGTTTCAAGTCGCGTGACAGTATTGCGTGACATATTTTTGAACGTGAATAACTCAACGAATAAACAGCACAAAAAGTTGAAACTTTCAGAGAGAACTTCTATCATGCTCTTCAAGGTATTTCAGTACTGTAATGTTGTGTGTCTGTGATTTTAGAATTTTTTTCGACTGATGACGTCATGTGCAAACCGAGAATACCTTATATTAGTACTACAATAACAATTTTGTTTTCAGGGACATGTCTTCTACATACATATTGTAAATACAACGGCCCACGTACGTATACGTGTAGTAAGGTAAACAAAATCTTAATTCAATTAGGATCAAATGCTGATAACAATTACGTCCAAAAAAAAGATCCAAATCGAATGGCCATAAATTGCCTGCACAATCCGTATTTTTGTTTTTGTTAGTTTTAAACAGTACCTGTGGATTTGAGCTTTGAAAAAATGGTACTTTCTCCCAAGTAGCTACAAACATCCATACTGCCGAGAAGTGTTGGAATTCTGGGAAAGCTTTTCTAACGTCGGTTGACGCCTCTTCTAACAATTGGTTGGTGGTGTTTTGTCTGTACCATATAGCGCCTCCATCATCTGTATCAATATCTCCCAGAAATGGAGCAATCATTGATTTAGTGCCAGCAAGTTGAGGCGTTTTTGTTTCGTCGAACTCTCCGAATGCTTTTTCGAACGATATTACTCCATTGATGTCTACCTAATGAATTTAATCAACAGATGAGTTTTGGCTGGTGAAAGCGAGGAAAAAAGCAAAGTAAAGGTTGGAAAGAACTTTCGCATTTGCAATAATGCACTAAGATTTAAATCAGTATTACTTAAATAGCGGAGCACCACACCTAAGGAAAAATGAAAGTTAAACCCATCGAAGCTTTCATACATCTGCATTTGGTCGGGGACTAATTTTTCCAGAAATGCTTTGTTTTCCTAGCAGGCATTGCATTATATTTTGTAAATAACCTAAATTTTGTTTTTAATAGAAATATATGTAACATTATACATGGTGCACTCTTTATAATAATCGAGCAAACAACAGTAGTATAACGAAATCAAAATGAGTGGTTTCTTTACATATTATATATATTATATATATCACTGCTTTGCATCAACAAAGCTGAAGAGGAAAAGTTTAATATTATTTAATTTAGTGCCATGAAAGTTTATATGTTATCGAAAATAATAGTCTTAGCAAAACATGTGTAGTCTGACCAACGTGTCTTGCATCCCATCTTTAATTATCAGACATACATCCATATCTTAGAGTTTTACCTAATTTTTATATTAGCAATATAAATAATATCAGTTCTAACAAGAGTTTGTATATTATAGCGTAGCTAAAGTACGTGACCTTTCCGTGACAAACGCTTAGTCCACGCGCGATGTCACAGACACTCCACTTTTGTTGACCTAACTCATGTATCTGGTTTCGGGATTGTCCGTAATGTTGTTCTCCGTTATCACTAGTACGTAATTTCGTAACTTACCTTGCGTAAATCTCGAGTTAGACTAGCCTATGCATGTATACGTAATGATTACAAATGTAACTAAATTAGGCATAGAATTGTACATAAATAGAGCACAATTATTGTAACAAATAATCAGTTCACTTATAGCAGTCTTGTTATAAGCAA